GTGTGTGAATTCAGCAAAATAACCCAATATAGTCATAATAGTAGTGGGTACCAACACAATTAATTTATTCACCATTGACAAATGGCTTTCCATCTGCCACAAACAAGCCACTTAAACCCTTACTTTGGCTAAAGCCCATTTTCACTTTTTTATGAAGAAATTCTGCAGCGATGAAATATTCCATTATACAAACTTTCTTTCTTCTTTTTAAGACATGGTCTCACTATAAAGTCTGAACTCATTAATCTTGAACTCAGTGTAGCTCACTCTAGGGTGGCCTTAAATTCTATGACTCTCCTGCCTCAGCCTCACTAGTGTTGGGATTACAAACATGCTACCATACCCAGTTTAAATTTTCTAATTTTATGATTGCTTTTGTGCTGAGTTGAGACTATCACAATATTTAGTACAGTAACATCAATATATATTGTATTCTTTTAGTACAGCTTAAACACCTTTGCACTTTGATAACAAAATAATCCACGTTCCATTGTGTCCTAAAAGTACAACATTCAAAGTCGACTTTTCTGGTTTTCACATAATGAGTATGCACTGATAATAAAAATAAAGTTGTCACAATAAAACAATATGCACAGCACCTAAAATGCTGTCAAGTTATAACTGCAACATTGTGATTTATGGTAGAATACCCTGAAATGAGATGTGATTTGTCCTCCAGCAGTCTGATGTGATGAGAATACCACATATATTATAATTACAGAACTCTGCCATTACAGAGTGAAAGCAGAGACAACACACAAATGTGTAACAAGGCTGTGTACCAGTAAGAACTTAAATTTAAATTTGAAAAGAACTTCACTAAATATTATGATTCCTTTCAATTACTTCAGTTATTTTAAAATGATTAAAAAAACATTTTTACAAGCTGAACACAGTGGGTACAACTTGGTTCACAAGCTAGAATTAGCAAACTCCTGCTTTAATCTATGCTGGGGCCAATTTGAACTAAAACTAATAGAGAACAAGAAGCAAAGATATGATGAAGAACTTCATGATTTAAAACATATACATTATATACCTCACTTTATGCTTTTAAAATGTTTAAGGCTGCAAGACAATCTTTTATAAAATCTATTTTAAGTAATATAAAACCTATTCAAGCATATTTGTAAAATTTTAAAAAGACTCCTGAAATAAATTTTTAAAGAAAAAAAAAAACATGCTGGGGTGGGGGATGAAAAAAACTTGTTTTATATAACCACCACATCCAAATTTACTGTTTATAACTTTAAATATTCATACATTTAATTTCTTCAGGAATACATTGAAGAAATGTATTTTAAAAAGTTTTTAACATTATTTTTTTTTACTATTTTATTATTCCTAGAAGTCAAAGAGCATATTAGTTTTAAACTACTTCTTGCCATCTACTAGAGGTCATTAAATTTCACTGAAAACAACATTATAAAATTAATTGTTCAAATGCTAAAAATTATCATTTTTAAAAACCAGAACAAGGGCCGGTGAGATAGGTCAGCAGACTAAGCGCCCGCTTAGGCAAGCACAGAGACCAGGGTTCGATCCCCAGCACCACATGCCACACTGGCTCTGCCCCTGGAGCACTGAGCTGGCCACCAAGACTGGGCGTGGTGGTACACACCTGTAATCCCAGGTCTGGGGAGGTTGAAAATGAGGATCACTACCAGTCTTAGCTGTATAGTGAGATCCTGTACTGAATACATTAAATAAATAAATAAATAAAGCAAATATCATAGTAAAATACTAAAGCTCTCCTATTGAAATCCTAAGATATCTATTATTTCCGCTTCAAGCAAATATTACACTGGGTTCTAAATCGTTTACAGTAATAAAAATATACAAAAATAAAGACTATAAAAGAAAAATCAGTATAATCATCTCACATTTGCATGATATTTTGTAGTTTTACATACTTTCAGATATGGCTAGATTGAATACTAATAACAATCCTATTAAAGCAAACATTTCTGATCCCGTTTTATAAATTAGGAAACTGAGTTTCTGAGAACCTTAGAACAAAAAATTAGCCACTGTGGCTGAAACAAAAATGAAAAAATGAGAGTGGAAAATTAAGTCAAAGAAAAAGATGCAAAACATCTTTTTGAAAGAGTAAAAATTCAGACTTTATTCTGGTTAAAAAAGGAAGCAATTAAAGGGGCTGGTGAGATGGCTCAGTGGTCTAAAGCACCTACTTAGAACAAGCTTAGCAAAGCACAGGGCCCGCAGTTCAATCCCCCAGCACCACATGCCAGCCAGCCCCGCCTCCTGGTGGGCTGAGCTGGCCACACACACACACAAATAAACAAATAAAATTAAAAAAAAAAAAGGAAGCAATTAAAGAACTTTAAACAAAAGAGACAAGACATCATATTAGAGTAATCAGGCATACCCTTGTTTATAGCAGCACAATTCATAACAGCTGATTGACACAGCATATATATCCATCAGCAGAACAATAAAGAAAATGTGGAATCTACACACAAAGGAGTATGACTCTGCCATAATTAAAATATATCCATCTCTGGTTAATTATGTATATTTTCAATATCTGAAAATTATTTCATAACTTGCATTTTTATAAGATAAATACCTAATCAAATTGTCATGATTTTTTTATTCCAATTGAAACAAAAGCCAAGGGGCTATAAGGTTAAAACACTGGTAAAATTAACAGAATTAAGTCCAAATATGTGTGCTATTTTACTCTGTATAGCATGTTTTCTTTATATATAAATATATATA